TGACCCATACCCTAAAGGAATGAATACGACTCTAACGACAGCCATATAATGAGGGAGCGAAATGTAAGAAATAAATACAGCAAAAAAAAGCACTAGCAGGACATTGGAATGCTACCCAAAGACCTCACCAAGAAAGTTTGACTAGTCTGCCAGAAGTTGATTTTGGCATCTTGCCCACCGTAAGTAGCTAGATATTTGCCATCTTCTGAGAAGGCAACGGCTGTTACGGGACCTTGATGGGCTTGTAAGCTCTAAATCAGGTATTACTAGATTTTCATTGAAAAAAATAATTAGCTCCAGATTCTCAAAGTCTGTGAAGCTTAGGCCGCGTCCACCTGTATGAGCTGGCCTGATTCTTCCAAAAAAGCGTAAAAGTTGATCAAAAGCATGAAAAGGTGAAAACCTACATGGGCTTTAGCTGCTCTAAGCTCATGTACAATGCATGTGCCGTTTTTACCACCAAATGCTATGCGACGTGTTGATGCACAGTAGGCCACCATGTAGAACCTTTACAATACCAACATGAACCTTAACAAGAGAGAGAAATGCTTTCTCACTTGGTTATCGGTGGAAAAACATCAGAAAGTGTCTTCTGCTTGAGTAATGAGGTATCCAAACAATGTACTAGGATATCTCCAACAGGCAACATCATCTCTACAACTTCTGCATAGCGTTTTTCCGACAGCTCTTCTATTATCCGCAGAACCTGAGTGGTAGTTATCAGAAGAGTTCCAAAATGATGACTGATTGAGCTTGTTTTACCTCTGAACGCGATTTTAGCAGTGGACTAACAACAGTATGCTGGATAGTCTGGTGCTGAGCAGCAGAATTATACCTTGCTACCTAAATAACAATCGTGTTTTCGCTCGGACAACCTGTAACTGTTTAGCTATCTACACACAGATTTCCTACCTCCATGCTCAGTGCCGACAGTAAAGCTGTGGGCCTAGCAGTAGCGATCAACGTCAAAGCATGACGTGCTGTCCGGCAGGCATCAGCTATAGGAGACAACGGGGCACCAATAATAAGTGGTCTAAATTAGGATAAATGAGATCACTAATTTATATGAAAT